CTGCATTAACATCTTTTCTATGTCTTGCTCACTCAGGTAATCCACTAACTTGCTTTCTTTTCTCTGTATTCTTAAGTCATACACACACACCCTTAGGCATAGCAGAAACCTGTCTTCATCAGTACTTACAGTCCTCTGTATATTTTTGGCTCTGTATAGAATGAATGCAAATAGCCATCTGCCTTGGGAGTTGTCCCATCTTTCCAAATCTGATTCTATATACTACTGTGACATTGTGGCCAGCCCATTCAGGTAAGAGAATAAGGAAGACTCCAGGTTGTCAAAACTCAAATCTCACCCTCACCTTGCCTCCAAATTTACAGAAATCCATTTCATTGTAGTATTGCAAATGACATGTTGTTGTTGAATCAGTGTGCAGAGTTGGGGAAATAGCGTTAAACTGGTAAAAATAATCCCTATTTAGGCTTTGAAACGTAAGATTTGACTTGGGTTCAAATCTGGCCTCTAGTAGTCCTGTGATATTTGGCAGGTTATTTATCCTCTGAATCCATGTTTATTTCTAAAATGGGAATCTGCATCTAATACCATGCCTGGCTTATAAGAGACATTCAAATGATAGTTATTACATATGATATATTACATATGGTGTGATACATTACATATATGGCTTATACTTAAGATTATTCTAGGTCACAACGAATCTTTCGGTTCCGGAGGGTGATAGCAAGTGGAATAGAGTAGCAGATTGAGACTTTATTTCACTGTATTGCCTGGTAAAAAGACACAGGTGGTAGCTTCTTTGCCCACCATTTATTGTATTTTATATTGTTGGAAACAGTATTGTACTTCAAACTTATGTCAAGTGTTTGAGGTAGAACTGTGTTAATTCAGATCAGACTGCTTGGGGATGTTTGATTTTGGTATTATTAAAGTGTAGTTGATTTATAATGTTTCAGGTATACAGCAAAATGATTCAGAAATAATTGTGTGTACTAGAGTAGTATAGTGTTAGTCGCTCACTCATGTCCGATTCTGTGATCTTATGGACTGTAGCCCACCAGATTCCTCTGCCCATGGGATTCTCCAGGCCAGAATACTGGAGTGGGTAGCCTTTCCCTTCCCCAGGAGATCTTCCCAACCCAGGGGTCAAAGCCAGGTCTCCCACATTGCAGGCAGATTCTTTACCAGCTGAGCCACAGGAAAGCCCAAGAATACTGGCATGGGTAGCCTATCTCTTCTCCAGTGGATCTTCCCAACCCAGGAATCAACCCGGGGTCTCCTGCATTGCAGGCGGATTCTTTACCAACTGAGCTATCAGGGAAGCCCTTATTAGGATTATATCAGGTGTTACTGTGAAATTTATATTCCAAATTCAGACCCTTAACAGGATCTAAAAAAACTTACACCGTTAGCTTTGAACCAGGTAGTTTTCTTCCTTTTCAGTGTTCACTTGGGATCTTGGAATTTGAGGGTTGGAGTGGGTATTGCGAACTGTCAAGGAGCTAAATTGTTAACTTTTTGACCTGTATTTTCCCCCAATTGAAAAACACCATTGATTATGGCATTAGTTTGGTAGATGAGGGAGAATCATTTTAAAATAGAGGAAAGAATATCGCTTCATCTAATCTTCATTTTATTTCCACCATTAACCTGTTTTCTTTTGGCTTATTCTTTAAAACTATTGGGTTAGGAGGTTTAAAAAAAAAAAAACTATTGGGTTAGGAGGTTTAGGTTGTGTTTATTGTTTTGGTTTTCTTGTGCCAGTGACTTCTGAATGGATGACCTCCCAGAAGAAATGGTAGTATATTAGTGAACTGTACTTGAAAGCTGTGAAAGATAAATTGTGTATCTCTTAAAGGAGCACTATGAAAATAGTTTTCTCAGTCTACTGCATGGATTTTGACAATTCAGCTTATGATCTCTTTAGTTAAATCAGAATTTTTCAGCCAGTGGACTATGTCAGGGAGGGTTACAGATACGCTGAGATTCTGGTCCCCTCAGCCTTCAGGCCATTTGGGCAGAGTACAGGGCCTCCAAACCGGTGACCTTAAGTCCAAAAGTCTTGATCATTTATCCATTATTAAAAATGCTATTTTCTCTTTGTGTTTTGAGTTTTTAAAAGGCTACATGTAAGCGCTAGTTGAAAAAGTTCAGTAATTGAGTATCTTACCAGTTTTAAGGTTCGAGGGGATGTTGATCTGAAAATAGTCTTGATTTTAAGTTTAGAAAAGACCATTTTAAAGTGTGTCTTTCTGATCCTCAGGCAATTCCCTTTCCACATATAATTCAGGGGGTATACTTTAAAATGTGAGACTAAACAATTAGAGTTTGGGAACTTGTGAAGAAATTTGAGTTCTTATTTTTTTAAGCAATAATGTGAAGCAAAACAAGTTACCTTGTATAAAATTGGTGTCCTCATCTGACTCTGAATGCCACTGTAACTTTTCTGGGAGCTGACACTTTGTTAATCATTTGTCAGCCATGGGTCTCCTGCTTTAACATAAATTGAAACCTAGGATACGTTGTCTTCCCCTCTTCCTTTGGGAAAGAATGGGATATACTTAACTTAAAATTTTAATTGTTTAATATTTATGTAAATTATGAAGTTAGCAGCGAATGCTGTGCAGACTGCAGCCTCTCCCCAACCAGGGATCAAACCTGTACCCTCTGCAGTGGAAGCATGGAGTCCTAACCACTGGACCACCAGGGGATTCCCATCAAGTTAACTTTTAAAAATTGATTTTTTGCAGTGTTAAAATATCTCCTTTTGTCTAACTTAGCAATTCTTAATTCTGCTTGGGTTTACAGATTTGTCTGAGCCTGTAGTGAAAGCTACAGACCTTTATTTCAAAAAATGTACTGTACACGCTACTTTGTATTACTTTAGGGAATTTATGGACCTCCAATCTCATTGATGAACTCCAGTTTGAAATTTGTTTAGTCCAAATAACAGTTCCCCCATTTTATTATTTTTAATACAGTAACATTTGTATGCTTTATCATTTTTCACAGTATTTTTTAATTGAAATATAGTTAATTTACAGTGTTGTGCCAGTCTCTGCTGCATAGCACAGTGACTCAGTTTTACATACATGTGCATTCTTTTTTTTTTTTTTAATATTCTTTTCCATTATGGTTTATCCCAGGAGATTGGATATGGTTGCCTGCGCTATACAGTAGGATCTTGTTTATCCATTCTCAGTGTTGTAGGTTGCATCTACCAACCCGAGATTCCCAACTTCTTCCTTCTCCCCTCCTCCTTAGCAACCACAAGTCCGATCTCTGTGTCTATGAGTCTTTCTCTGTTTTGTACATAGGTTCATTTGTGCAGTATTTTGGATTCCACATATAACTGATGTCGTACAATATTTGTCTTTCTGACTTACTTCACTTATTTTTAATAATCTTGCATCCATGTGGCTGCATATGTCATTTTTATGGCTGAATAATATTCCATTGTATATATATATGTGCTACATCTTGATCAACATTTAGGCTGTTTCCATGTTTTGGCTATTGTGAATAGTGCTGCTATGAATATAGGGTTGCATATATCTTTTTGAATTACAGTTTTGTCCAGGTATATGCCGAGGAGTAGGATTGCTAGATCATTCTATTTTTAGTTTTCTGAGAAACCTCCATACTATTTGCCATAATGGCTGTATCATTTATGTTTCCACCTTTAGGGTAGGAGGGTTCCCTTTTCTTCACACCCTCTCCAGCATTTGTTATTTGTAGACTTTTTAATGATGGCTATTCTAACCAGTGTGAGGTGGTACCTTGTAGTTTTGATTTGCATTTCTCTAGTAATTAGTGATGTTGAGCATCTTTTCGTGTATCTACTGGCCATCCATAGGGCTTCTCAGATGATACTAGTGGTAAAGAACCCACCTGCTAATGCAGGAGACAAAGAGATGTATAAGTGCGATCCCTGGGTTGAGAAAATTCCTTGGAGGAGGGCATGGCAACCCACTCCAGTATTCTTTTCTGGAGAATCCCATGGACAGAGGAGCCTGGCTGGTTACATTCCATAGGGTCACAAAGAGTCAGACACAAATAAAGTGATTTAGCATGCACACACGCACTAGCCATTTGTATGTCTTCTTTGGAGAAATGTCTGATGCATCCTGAGGTTTCATCACAAAACTCATGCTATTGGGGATAATCCTTACAAATGTAATGTAAGGTCTGTTTGTTTTGCTGTTGTTGAGTTGTATGAACTGTTTGTATATTGTGGAGATTAAGCCCATATCGGTTTGCGTCATTTGCAAATATTTTCTCCCATTCCTTGAATTGTTCTTTTCATGTTTTGTTTTGGTTTTGGTTTTCCAGTTTCTTTTGTTGTTTTTGTTTTCCTTTGCTATGCAAAGTCATACATTTGATTAAATCCCATTTTTGTTTTTATTTCTTTTGCCTTGGGAGACTAACCTAAGAAAATACTGGTACAATTCATGTCAGAGTATATTTTGCCTTTATTTTCTTCTAGGAGTTTTATAGTGTTGGGTCTTATGCTTAAGTCTATAAAGCATTTTGAATTTATTTTTGTGCATAGTGTGAGGGTGTGGTCTAACTTCATTGATTTACTTTCCCAGCACCATTTGCTGAAGAGACTTGTCTTTTTTCCATTTTATATTCTTGCTAGCTTTGTCAGGGATTAATTGGCTGTAGGTGTGTGGCTTTATCTCTGGGCTCCATTCTGTTACATTGATCCATATGTCTGGTTTTGTATCAATACCACACTGTTTCGATTATTGTAGTATTGTCTGCTTCCCTCCTGGCTCAGACTGCAAAGAATCTGCCTGCAAAGCAGGAGACCTGAGTTCAGTCTCTGGATTGGGAAGATCCCCTAGAGAAGGGAATGGCAAGCCACTCCAGTATTCTTGCCTGGAGGATCCAATGGACAGAGGCAGGCTACAGTCCATGAAGTCACAAAGAGTCGGACACGACTGAGCAACTAACACATATATACATATATACATACATAGTATTGTCTGTGGTCTGGGAGAATTATACCTCTTGCTTTTTTTTTTATTCCTTAGGTGTCACAGTGTCCAACAAATATTTCTGCATGGTATTCTGTATGTCAGCTTCTGTGATAGATCCTGAGACTGCAAAGGCAATATTCTCTGCCTTTGAAGCTTTCTTTAGCTAGGGCGACAGATGTGTAAAACAGTACAGTGACAGTGCCAAATGGAAGAGGTAAGCAAAGTATGCTATTGGAGTACAGAGGAAGGAGGGTCTTGATCATTGAAAATTTTCTGTAAATCTAGTCAGTTCTGTATTTCCTAATTGGCCGAAAGCATACTTCGAACTTCTCCGTGATTTTTGTTTTTTAAGCTCTAATTGAACTAATAACGGAAACTAAATCAAGAAGCAAATGGTCTTAAATTGAGAGCTTAAATGGGCTTATTACTGTTGCATCTGATTATGCTGAATATTTTCTTTGCCCGTATTTTTCCCTAGTTATCTTTTTAAAATAGTTTTAAATTTATTTATTATACTTATAAAATTATATGTTTAATGTAGGTCAGGGATTGCTAACTGAAATACCTGCATGAATCAGGCCAGTAAGATAAATGTGTAGAATTGTTCAGGTTTACCTATGGCATCTTTGACTGGATAATCACAGTCAGCAGGTCCAAAGTGATGTGGTCAATGCAGGAATGCAGAATCATTGTTACCAAAAAGACAGACCTACCTACTTTTTCTCATTTCATCTTATTAGAAACTGAACATTAATTTGGTTTTTAGTGTTGGCAACCAAGTTACACTTAAAAATACTAATTATTTGTCACGAAAATCTTTAACACATAATTCAACTTAATAGCTGATTCACTTTAAAAACACTGTGGAAATTTTGCATAGGAATTTTCATAGCAGCATTAGTCATAGTGGCCATAAAGTGAAAACAAATGTCCATCAGCTGATGTATGGATGAACAAAATGTGGTATATCCTTACAGTGGATTCAGCCGTTAAAAGGGATGAACTATTGTAAAGCTACATCATGAATGAACCTTGAAAACATGCTAAATGAAAGAAGCCAGACACATAGGGTTATGTATTGTGTGATTCTGCTTGTATGAAATGTCCAGAATAGGCAAATCTCTAGAGGCAGAAAGCAGATGAATAGTTGTTAAGACGGGGGGCGGGTAGTTATTAAGAGTGACTACTATGGGATGTTTGTTTTCTTTGGAGGTGAAGGTAATCATATGGTAGTGACCGTTGCATGTTAAAAACATTAGAAAAACCACTGAATTGTACACTTTAAAATGATGGATGTGATGTTGTGTGGATTTTCTCTCAGCTTTAAAAACTGGAAGAAAAGAGACTGCATGAGCTAAATAGGGTATATATGTTTGCTGTAAAGCAGAATGAATAGGTTTTAAATCTAGACAGAATATCTTAAAATCACTTGCCCTCTGTGACATGGTAAAAGTTGTTCAGATTCACCTACTCTTAACATGGGAAAGGTATTACGTAGGTCTTGGGCTTCCCTGGTGGCCCAGCTGGTAAAGAATTCGCCTGCAGTGCAGCAGACCTGGTTTCCATCCCTGGGTTGGGAAGATCCCCTGGAGAAGGGAATGGCTACCCACTCCATTATCCTTGCCTGGAGAATTCCATGGATAGGAGCTTGGCAGGCTACAGCCCATGGGGTCGCAAAGAGTTGGACACGACTGAGTGACTTTCACTTTCACTGGGCTTGTTATGTTCAAAAGTGATCATTTTAAATCCCAAGAAACAGTATAGGTATAGGCATTCACATTTCTTTAGATTTGGAAGCTGGATAGATAATGTTTGCTGTCCTGTTTCCAAGCTGTTTCCAATCTGTTGTTGGTAAGTCTAGGACAACCCACCCTATTTTTTATTGCTTATTGATCATCTGCAGGAAGTATGGTTGTCTCTTAGGTAACCTACCTCCATGATAGTAAAGGAGGGAGAGGGAGAGACTATTACTCCTCATATCCTGCAGTTTCCTCAGTGAAATCAGATAGGTTAAATGACAGTCCCAGAGCCATATTTGGTCTTAATGGCTCAAGTGATCCTCTTCTTTCTACCACCTCCTGAGGCCTCATAAATCCAAGGTTCATGTTTTTCAGTAACAGAGTACTATATTGTTTCTGTAGTTCTATCAAGGATGCTCATCACATGGGTAAATTACATGGCCTCATAAAAGCTCATGGCTCTAAAGAAACATCTCCCACACATATTGACTAAATTCACATCTCATTGGGAAGTGATAGTATGACTGTTTTACCTTTGTTAGTGATGTGTGTGATAAAATTTACATGTAAAACCGAAGAGCAACTGTAAAATCAGCTACAGATCAAATATCCACTATACAGCCAAACTCGGTGTTGAAGAGGAGCAGATCCATATGCAAACAGGTTTGATTTTTGCCAATATATTGTCTGTCACTATCTTAATATCAGTTCATCAAATATTCATGAAACATTCAGCATGGCTTAGGCACAGTGATAAATAAAAAGTGTTATAGAAATATTAAGCTATGCAGTAGGAAAACATTAGGATGTAAAGGAGGTTGAAAACTGATAGCCGTTATACTGATTGAAATGGAAATGGCTAGATATTCAGGATTTTCATTTCTTCTGTATCAGCTTTTCTAAGTCTTCTTCCTCTCAATATTTCAAATTTGTTCCTCATGTTATCCTGTGTTTTAGGATATGGCATATGATAGGATTTCCCCCCTTTTTTTTTATTTTATTTTTTTAATTTACATTAAAACTGATTCCTTTCTGTGTGTTAGTCACTCAGTTGTGTCTGACTCTTTGCAACTCCATGGACTGTAGCTTGCCAGGCTCCTCTGTCCATGGAATTCTCCAGGCAAGAATACTGTAGTGGGTGGCCATTCCCTTCTCCAGGGAATCTTCCCAACCCAGGGAGCAAACCCAGGCCTCCTGCCTTGCAGGCAGTTTCTTGACTGTCTGAGCCACCGGGGAAGTAACCACCATCACGACCAAGACACGGAACATATCACCTCCCCATATTACCCAGCCTCCCACCCCTGTTCTCTGGCAACCACTATTCTGTTCTCAGTTATTATAGTTTTATCTTTTTGAGAATGTTACATAAATTGAATCAGGCAGTATATAATATTTTGAAAACTGGCTTCTTTAACTCAGCATATTGCTTTTGAGACTCATTGAAATTATGTATATCAGTGGTCAGTTCCTTTTTACCGTTAAGTAGAATTCCACTGTATGGATGGACAACAGTTTGCTTATCCATTTAAGATTTTTTTGGTGATTATGAGTTGAGCTGCTGTAAATTGCACTTGTATAGGCTTTATAACATGGTGGGGTTGCCAGGTTATATGAAACTTTGTAACTTTCTAAAAAACTGCCAAACTGTTCCCAGAAGGGCTTTGCTATACTAGTTTGCATTCCCACCAGCAGTGTAAGAGAGTATTCAGTTGTTCCATGTCTCTCTAGCACCTAGTATTGTCTGTATTTAACTTTTAATTGGAAATAATTTTAGACTTAGAAGAGTTGCAAGAAAAGAATCCTCACATACCCTTCACCCAGCTTCCCCTAATGTTAACATATCACATAACCATGACATTTATTAAACTAAGAAATTAGCACTGATACATTTCTGTAAATTAAATTGTGGACTGTATTTCGATTTTTACCAGTTATGTCCTTTTTCTTATATTTTCCTTGACTCAATCCTAGACTAAGCCATTTCTCTAAAGAGCCCTCACTCCTTTTATTGGAGAAAGGTATTGAGAAACCAAGGTTTGGATGCTGCTTACTCTTGTTGCTGCTCATTAGCACAGCTTCTGAGTGCTCTCAGTGGACAGAGCTAGGAATTTGCAGCCAGTAATGTCCACTCTTTGTCATGGGCAGTTCTGTGGGTTTTGAGAATACTTAGAGTAGCAAATTAATAGTAAACAGAACAGTTGCATTTCCATGTGTTGGTCATTCCTGTTCTGTCTTTTTCAGTATGTCTTATTGGAAACACAATATCTAGCTTTTTGGATCTGGCTCCTTAACAAAATATATTTAATATTCATCCATGTTGTACAAATCAATAACTTGTTTTCCATTGTGTGATTATACAATACACGTACCATTTGTTTATCCATTTACCTCCTAGACATCTTGGTTGTTTCCCTTTTTTTTTTTTGGCAATTAATAAATAAAGCTGCTGTCTACATTTGTATACAGGTTTTTGTGTGAACATACATTCACTTGAGTAAATACCTGGGGGGGAATGCTGAGTTTATGGTAAGTGTTTATGTAACTTTGTAATCAGTGACCAAATTTTTCCAAGGTTCATATACCATGTTGTATTCTCATCAGAAGTCAGTTTCTTTTGCTCTAATTAATTTCTGTTATATCCTCACCAACTTTTGGTGCTGTCTTTTTTTTTTTAATTTGACTATTTTGATATATAGTGTATCTCACTTTTTTGTGTGGTTGCTCAGGGTTTTCGTTGCTACATGCGGGCTTTCTCTAGTTGTGTCGAGTGGGGGCTGCTCTTCATTGCCATGTACAGGCTTCTTATTGCATAGGCTGCTCTTGTTTCAGCTCTAGGTGCTCTGGCTTCAATAGTTACAGCACAAGAGCTCAGTAGTTCTGGCATTTGGGTGTTCCCCAGCATGTGGGATTTTCCCAGAGCAGAGATCGAACCTGTGTCCCCTGCATTGGCAGGTGGATTCTTAACCACTTGACCATCAGGGAAGCCCTGAAATTGGCTCTTTTTAAAATATTCTGTTCTCTGCAGATAGTCTGAAGTTTATTTCATTTCTGTAAGGGTAGTCAACATAGTTGTTTCCTTGAGTCTAAGATCAAAAGTCTATAGAGTTTTTTTGTTATCTGTTCTTTTTCTTCTAGTTCTTACTCTGTTACAACTTGGATGTCGTATTTGAAAAATTATTTGTAAGATTCATTTGAAGCCCATAGCGAGGTTCTTTTCTCTACAGAGAACCTGCTCATGTAAGGTATCTGTGAACACTGGTGATCTAGAGGTCACCTTAAAACAGGCTTCAGCTTTCCTTTCGCTGCTGCGGCCATGGCCATGAGTATGCTCAGGCTTCACAAGAGGCTTGCCTCCAGCACCCTTCGTTGTGGCAAAAAGAAGGTCTGGTTGGACCCCAATGAGACTAATGAAATCGCCAATGCCAACTCCCACCAGCAGATCCAGAAGCTGATCAAAGATGGGCTGATCATCTGG